CACCTGAACATCAGCAGGAGAGGACTCTTTAAAGTTAGAGACACTACATACCGATATACACCTGAACATCAGCAGGAAGGACTCTTTAAAGTAGAGACACTACATACTACTGATATACACCTGAACATCAGCAGGAGAGGACTCTTTAAAGTAGAGACACTACATACCGATATACACCTGAACATCAGCAGAGAGGACTCTTTAAAGTAGAGACACTACATACTGATATACACCCTGACATCAGCAGGAGAGGACTCTTTAAAGTAGAGACACTACATACGATATACACCTGAACATCAGCAGGAGAGGACTCTTTAAAGTAGAGACACTACATACTGATATACACCTGAACATCAGCAGGAGAGGACTCTTTAAAGTAGAGACTACATACCGATATACACCTGAATCAGCAGAGAGGACTCTTTAAAGAGACACTACTACTGATATACACCTGAACATCAGGAAGGAGGACTCTTTAAAGTAGAGACACTACATACTGATATACACCGAACATCAGCAGGAGAGGACTCTTTAAAGTAGAGACACTACATACTGATATACACCTGAACATCAGCAGGAGAGGACTCTTTAAAGTAGAGACACTACATACTGATATACACCTGAACATCAGCAGGAGAGGACTCTTTAAAGTAGAGACACTACATACTGATATACACCTGAACATCAGCAGGAGAGGACTCTTTAAAGTAGAGACCATCCTACTGATATACACTGAACATCAGCAGGAGAGACCTTTAAAGTAGAGACACTACATACTGATATACACCTGAACATCAGCAGGAGAGGACTCTTTAAAGTAGAGACACTACATACTGATATACACCTGAACATCAGCAGGAGAGGACTCTTAAAGTAGAGACACTACATACTGATATACACCTGAACATCAGCAGGAGAGGACTCTTTAAAGTTAGACACTACATACTGATATCACACTGAACATCAGCAGGGAGAGGACTACTTTAATTATATTTAATCACTAATAATCACATCGTTTCAAAACACATAACGGCAGAAATCTCACCAAACTATAAAAGACATGTTTTAGCAGAAAGATGTTTTTTCTGTAGAAAGATAAATGTTGCTTCCTGCAGGCGTGTGAATAATTACTCGATCTAACCGCGGATCATAACGTGATCCTCGCCTCCCACGTTATGGCAGTGTAATTGTGTTGCCATGGCGATGCATCTGCTCATCCCATCACTTTTGGTCGTGCAACAGACTGGTACCAGAGGGAAGTCCAGCGCTTCCGTTGCATGCTGAGCGTTGGGTGCAAATAAACGGCTTACTGAATGTTGTGCAGGTTAGCTGTGTGTTTATGTTCTGTAGATAACGTGTGATTATATTCTCCAGAGATGCTACATTGGCCAAGTTAGAAAAACAAAAATGGAACGTTTAAGATATTTCCATGTCATTAAAAAAGACATAATGTGATTGCATGAAATAGCTGCTGAAGATTACATTTAGTGTCTCTGTTGTGAAGCTTGAAGACTTCTTGTCCCAGCACAGAACGTGTCAAACTAAAAGAAAAATAATATGTTTGTCCTCTATTAAGTTTTCTCTGAAATTCTGGCAACAACGTGTAAAACAGAGACAGCTGTTTCCCTCTAATCACATGATCTTCCATTTCAACTCGTATTCATCAAGTTGTCTTTTAAGCCAAGATGGACACAACGTCATTAAAATGCTTAGAACAAAGAAAACTTAAGCAGTTCCATGACAACTTGGCAAATGAAGCTCAGCACAAGTTCTTTCAGGAAGACTGGGTATATATATACATTCACTCTGCAGCTGCATTAATCAGCTCATCATGTGTTCTCTTTTAACCAATTACCATTCACGACAATCTCCAGCAGCCAATCACCGTGCTGCAGTCAAACTTTAAAAAGGTTCTCCTCTCTCCTGCAGTCAGCTGTGATTTCAGGTGTTCATGCTGCGGCCCGCCTCCACCCCATCCACCTCCTTTCATCATGTCCAGTGACTCACGGCTGCATTTCTCCCTCTAAGATATATGATCAGGGTTTTAATCCGCGTGTGTCAATAAATGTTCTTTAAAAAACAAAATGAAGTCTCTCCTAATTGAACTAAGCTTTTAACTGTTGACGGAAAGCTCAGAAACAGCTTCTGATTGGACCTTGTTGTCGTGTGGTTCAATCTAAGCTCCTGTGAAGATTAGTAAAAAGATATTCTCATGATAATCCACATTGTACAATTAAACCCTTGTTATTCATTCAGCAACTTTTTAATTCCAGATATCAAAAGGGATCTCCTTGCTTTAGATCATAGTTAGTGATGCATTCTTGTGTTTATCACTTTAATGCTGCTGATATTTTCTATACTGCCTATACAAGCTACACGATCAATTAACCTCGTGGAGTCCGAAGTGTAAACTAAGGTGGAGATACTCAATTAAAGTACAAATTCCTTGTGATATTTAATACATTTTTTAGATTTTAAGTGTGTTTTTTTGTGATAATTTTACCATTATGTACAGAGTCTTTGAGAACCATGAAAATCAATTTGTATTATTATTATTTTACCTCGTTTTATTCCTTTGTGTTATTTCCTCTTCAAGATGATCTGTGCTTGTGTTAATAAAATAACACACACATGGTGCAGCTTTTTTCAGCTTGTTGCAGGCTTCATGCAAATCAATGCAACTGGTGAGTGGGCGGGGGAGTGGAGAGCCAAAGGGTTACACACACACCACCACACACACACACACACACACACACACACACCACACACACACCACACCAACACCACACAAACCACACACACACACACACACACACACACACACACACACACACCCACACACACACACAGATCCCCGGAGAGTTTCAGAGCTGCGAGTACTACAGTGTATTCTGATCCTCCAGGAACCATCTCTGGCTGATGGTTTGTAAAGTTTCCTTTCATTAAGAAAACCAATAAATAGTGGAGACATTTTGAGGAGTACTTATCAAGTGTAATGCCCCATTTCAGAATCATATATATTTAATTATTATATCATTAATGCATTCATATGTTCATCACAGCTGGGAGAGCTATTTTGTATTAGCTACTAATCTAAATATGTAAAGTAACTAAGCTGTCTAAGTAAAAAGTGTAGATAGATAGATAGACATTTTTTTTAAATAGAATAAAATACAATTAAAATAAACATTAAAACATAAAAAAATATACATATTGTCAGTAGAAAATACATATATTCAGACGAGTACACACTATGAAATATACAGAATACATTATATCACTAATATACCAATCTGCTTAAGGGACAGAATCACATTAACATTGTGTACTATACAGTATACATTTAAAAATATACACGGTAGCTTTTAATTCAAAATAAAATATATCCTGTGAGAAAGTGGAAATATAAGTAACATTTTGGAGTAAATGTACTTCATATCATCCCACCACTGCATTTATCTAGTTAAAAAACACATTAGGAAAGCAGTTAATAATAATAATGCATTTTTATTTATACAGCAAAAGAGTAAAAATTCATAAAAACACATTTCAAATATGTTAATTACAGATTAAAAGCAGTTCTGAAGAGGTGAGTTTGTGTGTTTCTCACAGGCTGTAATGTGGTCGGGCAGCAGGTGGTTTATCTGTGAGGATCCTTCACCTCTTCCTCACCTCTCCTCCTCCTCTTCCTCCTCCTCCTCTTCCTCCCACGCAGACCTTCACCCTCCAGAGTGAAACTGAAACAGAGAGAGGAGCTTCAGTGGGAGACGCTGCTTCTTCATCACTGAGAGGAAGAGGAACTCAGAGAGAGAGGATCGGAGAGAGGAGCGTCTTGGACAGAGAGGTGAGGAGATCTGATATCTGTAGTCGCTCTAATGGACATCTGTCTTAGATAAACCTGAGGGGAAGTTGTGATAGATTGTAAACTTTGATATATCTCTTCTTTCTGCAGGGTGAAAGACAGAAAGGATCAACCTCCTCATGACGACTTGAACTCAACTGAAGCAGAAAAACAGGGTATTTGGAGTTATCTTTGATTCAATGTGCAGCAAGTTTCATGAAGCTGATGGATTATCATAAGAGTACATCCGTCTACCTATCTCTCTACCCATCCATCTATCCATCTCTCCATCTATCCATCCATCCATCCATCCATCCATCCATCTCTCTCTCTCTCTCTCTCTCTCTCTCTCTCTCTCCATCATGACTTCCTGGGTAGTAAATTAATAGACTTCCAATTAAAGGGATAATTAAGAAATGTAGCTAATATTGCATTTCCCTAAAGTAGGGGGGAATGTGTGTGATTACATTACATGTCACTTGTTAGATGCTTTTATCCAAAGCGACTTACATACTCAATACTGTGGCCAATCCCCACAGGAGCACTTTGGGGTGAAGTGTCTAAGGGACACAACAACATGCTGACTCTGACTGCAGTGGGGTTTGAACCTGTGAGCCCCTGATCCCAACACCAACGCATAACCCACTGCACCACACTCCTCCCTATGGAGGTTTAAAAACATAGTTAAAGTAGCAGTGTGCGAAATATCTTTCTAAGAAATCTCCTACTCGCTCCAATGAACTGATATTCTTGTAGGCGTGTAAATTGACATGTGATTAACATACTCAGGTCTGATTGGATAGCTAGCCTACTTGAAGTAATTTCTTCAGCAATTTTCTCTTTCTCTCCTTGAATTCCTGTAGCTTTTAAAAATTATATCACAGAGATTTGGGAAGTTGTTGGCAGCTCGTTAGCAATAAAGCTGTACCGTAGCGTTGGTTGACACTTTGCACAGATGTGCAGTTCTCCTCTGGGATTTTAGTAGGCTAACCTCAGTTGTAGTCTGGAAAATGTTAACGAAGCCTCGAGTGAATAAGAAAACAATTATACCTATTGTATCCAGTCTGGACAGGTGGAAAAACTGGGGGTGGTTTAAAACACAATTCTAATCAAATTTCATAAAATGGGTCAAAGTGTCTTTTGTGTCACTTTGTTTTGAGACATACCAAAAATAACGTAAAATCCAGTCAGCAAAATATGGAAGAATGTTTGTGAATTCATCGTGATTTTACATTACATTACCAGAGATGGGGTCGTTACTAAAAAAAAGTAATATATTACATATTACATATTACTTTAAAAAAAAGTCATATATTACACTACTTCGTTACTCTCTACATAAAGTAACTCGTTACTTTACTCGTTACTTTACTCGCAGGGCCGGCCCGCCCCTCCCTACAGGCAGATCACGCAGACTGCTAAAGTTTCAAATGTTCTCTTTAGTTCAGTTTCCATTGTCGCATAAGACTGATCCAGATAGCTCTGACTATGGCTGTCCTCTGTCTCCTGCTATCTGTATTTTGCGCAGTATATCTCTGAACGATGCGATGGTGATTCCACTGTGCAAATGGGCAACATTACCTCTACTATGAAGGATGCTACAAGCCTGTCCATCTCTGCTTTGGTTACCGGTCCTCCAAATTCTAATTTGTGCCGCTTCGGACTCGGCGGCGGCGACTCACAACATCCTCACTCTGGGTTCGGGGGTCCTTAGCTATTAGTGTAACGTCCGAGGTGTTAAGGCTTCAAGAATACTTCTGTGTAACAAGAACTCAGGAACTTAGTACTTTTTGGACAGATGCCTCCGTTTATTAACGTCAAGTCACACACATGTCACACACCACTCTAGCCCCGACTGCGCATGCTCACAACACATGACCTCTCAACCCAATGCTTACATGCGTCCCCCCTTACTGAAAGGAAATGTCCCCATTTCCCACACACATGGTGAAAACACACAAAAACATAAAAAAAACAATACAACCACGAAAAACCCCAAAAACATAACAAACCACACACCTACCCCGCAGAATAATACATGCAGGCATGACGTACATTCGAAAAAAAATCTTTGAATAAAACAATGACAAACAAAACACATCCACAGCCCAAATAAAACATCAAACTAGGTATGACATAACTTATTCCCCTGTCCTGCACACTCGAAACATGAAAAAAACCAATTATGCAGCATAGAATACACAGGAGAAAATAATCACACAAGCACGTAACCACCAGTCATTCAGCCATAACAAAGTCCAAAAATCGGACAGGAGGCCGCGCTAACCTCCCAGCCAGGGGACAGCACAGTACCGGGTGCGGCTTTGTTCAGCTCAGGGGAATCACCAGCCCCAGAAACCGGCCCAAGATCACAGCCACTTTCCCCATCGGAAAATCCTCAAGCGTCCAGAGCTCTGTGGGGAGACTGCATCTTGCAACGGAAGAGGCTGAGAAGGTGTAAGAGAGACCTTGATGGGCCCTCCAAGGGAAAGGCATACCGGCAGTTTGTATCGCCGTCCAGTTCACGTCCGTAATGGACAGTTTGGAGCAGAGGCGTCATCCCCAAACGGGGCTACTTAGTTGGTACGTGACCCCCCACTTCATCACCCCTATCCATTCGCCTCTGCACCCAGATAAGGCCCCTTCCAGTGGGGAGCCCAGTTTACGGCGGCTCTCAGTGGATCATTTAACCACACCCAAATCCCCGACTTCATACGGGTCGTGCCTCACTCTGGCGTCATAGTACGACTTCTGTTGCTGCTTGCAGCAAAATTGTTATCCCTTGTCTGATCAAACGCCGTGTCCAAGCGTCTGAGAAGGGAACCAGCATAAGTCTTCCCGGGGACCCTGCACCAGATCATCCCGATTTGGACCCAGTAAAACATCCACAGAGTCCTGGCCTCCCTGCCTGCGTGAGAAATACGGCGTGAAGCCTGTGCTGGAATGTACACTGGTATTGTACGCAATTGCGACCTGTGACAGAAAAGAGTCCCCACTCCCCCTCACATGATAGAAGAGATTTCGCCAACTGAATCGATAAGTGGTCCTCTATTAAACCTCTCTACCATGCCATCAGACTTCGATTGTAAGGCGTGGTGTGCGTCTTCTTCACAACCTAACACGCCGCACAAATGCCTCACAACATCTGATTCGAACTGTCTGCCCATATCAGTGTGCAGAGTTTCCATTACCCCCATGCTCCAAGATGTAGTTCTGGAAGAGACACTCCGCGACCGTCGGGGCTTTTTGATCGGGGATGGCATACAGATTTACAAATTTTGTGAAATAGTCCTCAACAACCAACACATACCGGTTGCCTTTTGAGTGTGACCGGCAACTCAGTATGTCAGGCCGCCCCACCCGCTGGAAAGGTCTAACTGCATGTGAAGTTCTCATGGGGGCATGGTGTTAGGCACCGGGGGACTTCCTTCTCTGACAGGCATAACATTTGTCACACCACGAACGAATGTCACTGTGCATGGAGGCCCAATAGCACACACTTCTTGCGCGTGCCAAAACGCGATCATACGCCAGGTAAGCAGTCAGTGGGAGCACCATGCAAGTGTCCCAGGACCTCTGGAAACTAAGACAGCAGGAACAACAACCTGAGTAGACTGCCCTGCCTCAGACAGCCAAACAACTCTACATAAAAAGTCCCTCCACAAAAGTCAGCCGGGGAAACTCATGCCAAAAGTCTCTTCACACCCCGACTAGCATCTTTTAACCTCCATCTAGGGGGCCGTTTGGCCATGCTCCAGCCAGGCCAAAACTTGTCCGATGTCTGCATCCTTTTGCTGGAGCTCCCTAATACCGGAGCCATCATGTGACAGAGTGAAGATTAGGGTCTGGTCCACTGAAGACCCTGAGTCAGGAGAAGGAGGTCCTGAAATCGGTCCCTGGGCTTGGGCCGTGGCAAGGAGTCCCCACAGCACACACATCACTAGGACCACTGTCCCCAGCGCCAGGGAGAATTGTACTCAAGGGAACGGATGTGGCATCGAGACTGCCCTGAGTTCTCCAAAGCTTCAGTGGTGTCAGGGCCTGCGTGAAAGGGCATCTGCATTTGTGTGTTTGGCCCCACTCTTGTGCACAATCACCCAGTCGTATGGGTCCAGCTCCAGAGCCCAACGGCTACGACGCCCCCGTCTGTCATTGTCAACCCTGAAGTCGTCGCCAGACCCAACAAAGGTTGATGATCTGTGATAATTGTGAAGGGGGAGAAGACCCAAGTAATGCCTGAAATTACGCACTGCCCACACTATCGCCCACAGCTCCCCTGTCGTAGGTGGACCAACCGCCGTTCAGCTGCTGTGAGGGAGCGACTAGCGTAGGCCCACCACTCTCTCCAGGCCATCCACTTCTTGTGACAGCACAGCCCCCACAGCAATCTGCGAAGCATCTGTACCCAGCACGAAACTCTTGGTGAAGTCCGGGTGACACATGATAGGTTCGGCACAAAGACCATCCCGCAAAAACTCAAATGCCCCCTGGCAATCCGCCGTCCACTGAAAAGGGACATCCTTCCCTGTCAGATGGTTGAGGGGGGGCAGCACGCTGGGCAAAACTCCTCACAAACCTCCTATAATAAGAGCAGAGACCCAGAAAAGCACGCACCTCTGTAGCGGACCGTGGAACTGGCCAAGTCTTCACCTTATCTGTGTTACGGGGGTCAGGACGAAGCCCCCCGGCGGAGACGACGTGACCAAGGAATACCACATGATCACGGGCAAGATGGCACTTCCTGGCGTTCAATCTAAGCCCAGCTGCCCCAATCCGAATGAAGACCTCCTCCAAAGCAGACATATGGGCCTCAAACGAACTACTGTAAATTAGTATATCGTCAAGATACACCATGCAGATGTGCCATGGCAGCCCCCTTAACACCAGCTCCATAACCCTCTGGAAGGTAGCGGGTGCATTGGTTAGACCCATAGGCATGGATTTGAACTGGTATAGGCCCTGGCCAGTGGTGAATGCTGTCTTTTCGCGGTCCTCCTCAGCCATTTCCACCTGCCAGTAACCGTCAGAAAAGTCCAAGGTGCTGAACCAGGAGGCCCCCGCCAATGCGTCCAATGTGTCATCCACCCGTGGCAGTGGATGAGAATCCTTTATTGTCACAGAGTTGAGTCCCCTGTAATCCACGCAGAATCGCCATGTGTTGTTCTTTTTCCTGACG